ACAATAACTACATCGTAACTTTCCTTTCTCCTTGATCTTCGAGGCGAGAAGAATCCAAAGCAAATTGGGTCTATCTATTACTATTTGTGACATTCTCTTTGCTGAATGTTAAGTCTGTTTTATGTATGTGTTCTCTACAGTTTTGTACCACAGTGTTCTGTACTTCTCTGGGATTAGCAGAACAAGAGTTTAAGCCTGCCCTGCTTTGAAACACGTGTAGCTCATAAGTCTTACGTACAAAAGGCTTTCAACTTAACGACATGCGTATGAGGCTTCCTGTTTCTCATTAAGTTCAGTGTCAAGGCTGAAGTACCTTCAAGTCAACCTAGGATTGACATGCTTTTTGCTAGAATTACTGTACAGTGGAACTTTTCGGTATCAAGTTAAGCATTCATACTAAATATCTTTAAAGCTTGCAGTAAGATGTGCCAATGTCATAATGGTGTAGTATAGCCAGCTGCCACTGCACAGCGTGCCTGAGAAGCTGTTGTGCTAAGCCAAAAGGCAGTTATACCATCTATGCAGATACAGATTGTTGTGCAAAAAAAGTTGAAAGACTAGACTAAGTAATAACTATAGAATGTAATTTTTGTTCTTCAAAACAACCTTGAAAATTTTCGTGCCAGGAGGTAATGAGGCACTGATGTTGTGGGACACTAAAGCTCCCCACGTTGAATCCACACGTTGGCACCCCTCCCCCCTGATTAAGCTATTTCCCTTCCATTTGTTCCCGCGTATCCTCCAGCTATCTCGGAACCAAATCTGCGACGACACGACACCAAATCATGGGGCAGGAGTAATTGTGAGCTCTGCCCACCCACTTAACTTCACTCTTGTTGCATTTTAAGTGGCTGTTTTCAGGCGAGTCACGGAGCGGAGGCTTTATCTCTCCTCCATCAGCAGCCCACAGAAACGGGTGGGGAGGAATTGCGTCATGCAGACACGTCTCCACATTTATGCACCCTCATCCTTTGTCTTTCTGCAGAAAGTTTCGAAAGATACACGATATACTTCTGTATTGACTTCAATCATAAGAAGAACACAGTAAAATATTTACAGCTGATGTAAAACAAGCCCACGAGTTTTGTCCTCCGTAATATAATTGCCTCATGCAGATATGTCTCCATATTAGTAGTAAACCAATCCTTTGTCTTACTGAACATATTATGCTACATTGTACTTTTTTTTCTTTTTTTAATGTCTACCACAGACAATGCAGATCCTTCCATTTGCAAATTGCAACTTTTCTCTCTATGATTGTTCTATGCTCCACTAAACTCAGCACACTCAGGTAAAACTATTATTGTCAAGGTCCTAAAGTGTTAAAACTTGATATATCCTTCCAGTGCCCCCATCCCCCTCATGTTGACCCAGCCAATCCACTCAACCCTGCATCAGAATATTCATGCGGATGATCTGTAGTCATATCACTCCCGACGATGATGGGCAGAAAAGGTTACTGTCTCTCCCCGCCTAGCCCGCGTGCCGGTACGGGATGAACAAAGGCCACGGAATAATTGCCAAACCAAGTCATCTTCCTGACCCAACGTTTCCTGGAATCTTAAGTAGTCGTTTATAACGCGGAGCACGGAGCTGCCACGGCTTATCAAACAGGGTCGGCAAACTTCTGGCTGAGAGATAACCTGTGTGGCACCACTCACACAGGCCAGGACAGCACAGGACTGGGGTACATCTTGCCAATGCCATTGGAAAGAGAGAAAGGAAGGAAGGAAGGAAGGAATGGAGGGAGGGAG